ACGCAAATCTCAAGTCTACAAGAAGTGATTTCGTTACGATAATAAATATTTTGGACTAACGAAATCAAGTCATGCGACCACTTTGGCGCGCCGGCGTGCCCGTGCAAGTGCTAAACGATGATTCGTAACGAAATCACTCGATCGCAGTAGCTGATTTCGTAACGAAATCACTCGCAGTAGTTGATTTCGTAACGAAATCACTTGTAGACTTGATTTCGCTAAGCGAAATCACTTTGTAGACTTGATTTCGTTACGAATCAGAAGATTTTGTAACGAAATCAAGTGCATGCGACACTTGTGCGCCGCGGCGCGCCAAGTGTACGCATGCTTCGTAACGAAATCACTCGCAGTAGCTGATTTTCGTAAACGAAATCCACTCGCAGTAGTTGATTTCGTAACGAAATCACTTTGTAGACTTGATTTCGTTACGAATCATGATTTATAAGAACACTGTGTAATTAGCCACCAGAGACGATACAAACAGTGCTCGGCTATTTTACAGTGATAATCGATGCCCTTATGTGTTTTAACTCATGTAACCACTGTTTTTAAGTTTACGCGCGCTAGGAACACTCAGTGTACCGTGCACGTGATACCTGCATATATGGTCCTAACACAGATGTGTTCTCGCACTTGTACTTGTGATTCTTCAACCTTTTCAGCTGCGTAGGTGATAACATGCACGAAATCATCCTTGCGTTTTCTCTATTGAATGGCACGTCAGTTTGGTCTACTTGCCCTGCGCTTTACTACCGATCTCTTATAGTCCTGGTCACTCATCTGTGACCCGGATAGACTTGTTGTTTGCCCTTTCCCTGCGCAAAAAAAGTCCACGAACTCGTAGCACCAGGTGACGTTGCAATGACGAGTTAGGGTAGATTTGACTAGAATCTACTGGAATTGGGTCTGTATCTGCAAACCTGGTAGCAGATGTAGGGCTATTCATTGTTTTTATTACCATATTTATATCAATTTCTAAATTTCATGGCAGCCATTTTGAAAAAAATGTGCCACCACACCCAGTTTCGGCAGGTCCATTTCTTATAGTAAATACCTCTGAAAGCACACAGTCAGATTTGGTGCTTTTGTTACAATCTGAACGATTGACCTGGCTTTTAACTGATTTTTGATGCTAAAAGGCTCTGACATAGACGCGATTTTTTCATTCGCATCATCGCAGACTTGCTATCGCGACTTTAAAACTCTACGGCTATTATATTGTTTCGAAGATAAGAGTCCCTACATGTTCGGTGTGACGCGTGCTAATTCCGAACCCGTCGCGTCTAAAAGCGCCGTATAATAACGGGTCTACGGATACCTATCAGCATCACCGTGCGCGAGTATAGAGGTGCGTATCAAACACTGATCATCAATCTCTGTACTACACCACACCTGCATGACATATAGGACACACCTCTGTATACCCTACGTATATACCGCATATATAGCGACCTACAACACCTATAGTCTGTGATACGCGTTTCAGCTCGGTAAAATATTGTGAAATAGACTGCCATCGAAGGCGAAATATCGACGTAATGGCATTATATACGGTATAAGAACGCGAGAGTTTAAGTTTTACATGTTGTAAAAAATACATGAAACTGTAGTAAAACAACAAGCCATGTGGTATGTTCGTCTCATCACGCACTTCGCATTTAACGGGCTCGGTCTCTCGTTTAATTTCAGATGTGTACATGACGGGAAGCTATGATGGAGCACAGATTTTTGGACAACTCTGGTCCAGAGTCTCTGGAGAATTCATCTGCCTTCTACGAGCTGGGCGAAGTATGATGCAGAGATTCCTATACCGTCATACTTTCACTCAACAGCTGTAACGCCTGTAGGTATCACGCATAGATCTGTTTCCTGAATTAAACAATAGCATATTATGATGTTAAAATCGAAAATGATTATTTGAAAATTAATTTTACTCGCAGTAGTTGATTTCGTAACGAAATCACTTTGTAGACTTGATTTCGTTACGAAATCAATGATTTCGTAACGATATCAATCATGCGACACTTGGCGCCCCATAAGCGTAATGCCGTGGAATAAGCGTGTTGAGAGAAGCGTTTTTAGTTTCAGCTAAAATATCTTAGACCTATAGAACCCTTGGGAATAACTGTATTAACAATATTGTACGCAAGACGGAAATGTTCTTGTTTTACCCTGCTTGTTTATTTGCATTTCATATAGGTGTTTATAGAGCAATATATTGTGTCCTTGAGAATTTTTGATTTGTTGCTAATTTTAGGAACGTTAGAATCGCGCCACGTATAACATAACATCATTTCGACGTCTACGTGGCACTGTAACATCTGGTTTACACATGTTGTACAGATGTTACATTGAATTAGTAATTGTAGATAGTATTGGTTGTACATAGAGAAGGTTGGGCGTTTAGCATATAGATTAGAACAAGAGCAGATAAAGAAGGAGAGCGTACAACGGTAAAATGCTGAAACCATGCTGCAGTATTAGTCGAATTAATAAACTTTTCCCGTTTTTGACGATCCTTTGCAGTATTATTGATTAGCTGTCTTACCTTGTTCATATAAAACAAACGGCATGTCCCTACGATGCCCCTACGCTGAGATAATGAGCGGTGAAAATCTGGTATTTTCGCCGAAAACCGACTCGAGATCAGTGTGTACTGCGTCCCTACTAATAAAACGGGAAAAGTTTATTAATTCGACTAATACTGCAGCATGGTTTCAGCATTTTACCGTTGTACGCTCTCCTTCTTTATACGCTCTTGATTAGAAATAGTTAGGCTGGGGGAATATCAGACTAGTAGACGCCGTATGCACATCTGCGGGACAGATTGTGCATTTCGCGCGTAATAATTCGAATAATAGAGTGTTGGTGGGTGTGATTGGCTGGGGTAGAGTGGAACTGGGCCGTGATTTGATGCGGGGTTGAGATATAAGGGCTGCAGGTAATTTGAACGGGACGGTTGGACGGGGAGAGACTGGACGACGCGACTTTGACTGTTTGTTTGTAAACAATATATTTCTTTAGTGAACACAAATTCTATACGTCTTCTTGATTATTTATACTCTAAATTATAACATACAAACTACGCCCCTACAGCACTCTCCTACAGTATATATGCACTGCTTGCAACAGCTCATAAAATCTAATACCTATATGTAGTTATTTTAATGGTTCTTACTTCGCTCTCTGCGTCTGGACTGTAGCAGATCACCAGTGATGCGGTGAAGATATTTATGCATAGCCCCATCATTGACAATGAGGGTGACGCGATCCATTTTGGAATATGTTCGAGACAAGCGTTCCAAAATACCTGAGGCACATTGCAAAAAATAACATTCGTGTAAACTACAATTACAA